GCCCAGCGTGCCCAGCAGGGCCTACAGCTGCAGGTGCTGCGGCTGCAGCAGGACAAGAAGCAGCTGCAGGAGGAGGCAGCTCGGCTGATGCGGCAGCGGGAAGAGCTTGAGGACAAGGTGGCCGCCTGCCAGAAGGAGCAGGCTGACTTCCTGCCCCGGATGGAGGAAACTAAGTGGGAGGTGCGGGCAGGGGGCTTGGGCTTTCCCCCTGAGTCTCCTTCCTTCTGTCTGTCACTCTGGAGAAACCCAGAGCGGTGGCCCACGTCTCAAGGGTCGTGAAGGGGAGGGGGACAAAAGTGATTAGGAGGGTCCGTGAGGATAAGAGTGGCCCTGGGCTGTGTGAGATTAGCCAGCCAGTTGTGCCCTGAGTCCAGGGAGGTCCCTTTGTGTCATTGCTGCATGTTCCATGAGCTAACCCTGCGTCAAGGGTCACTCAGTGCCTCGAGCTGGATGCAGGGGCAAGGGTGCTGGCCAGTAGGGCTCTGTTGTGACCCCCGTCCTCTTCGCCCCTGCCCAGGTGTGCCAGAAGGCAGGGGAGATCTCCCTCCTGAAGCAGCAGCTGAAGGACTCGCAGGCCGATGTGTCCCAGAAGCTGAGTGAGATCGTGGGGCTGCGCTCGCAGCTGCGGGAGGGCCGGGCTTCGCTGCGGGAGAAGGAGGAGCAGCTGCTCAGTCTGAGGGACTCCTTCGGCAGCAAGCAGGCCAGCCTGGAGCTGAGTGAGGCCGAACTGCCCGCGGCCTGCCTCAAGCCGGCGCTGACGCCCGTAGACCCGGCGGAGTCCCAGGATGCCCTGGCCACATGCGAGAGCGACGAGGCCAAGATGCGCCGGCAGGCCGGGGTGGCGGCCGCCGCCTCGCTGGTGTCCTTGGACGGGGAGGTGGATGCTGGTGGGGATAGCGGGACGCGGGCCCTGCGGCGGGAGGTGGGGCGGCTGCAGGCCGAGCTGGCTGCCGAGCGGCGAGCCCGGGAGCGCCAGGGGGCCAGCTTCGCAGAGGAGCGCCGTGTGTGGCTGGAGGAGAAGGAGAAGGTCATCGAGTACCAGAAGCAGCTGCAGCTGAGTTACGTGGAGATGTACCAGCGCAACCAGCAGCTGGAGCGGCGGCTTCGGGAGCGTGGGGCAGCGGGGGGTGCTAGCACACCCACCCCCCAACACGGCGAGGAGAAGAAAGCCTGGACGCCCTCCCGCCTCGAGCGCATTGAGTCCACAGAAATCTGATCCCCTACCTGGGCACGTGGCCTTTTGACAAATGTCCTGTCAAAGGCCAGAGTCCCCGGTGTCCCCTCCCTGCCATCCTTCTTCCCCATGTCCCCCATGTCCCCAGACCAAAGAAGTTCTCAAAGCAGCTGTGACCAGGTTCCTCCCCTTCCCAGACTGGGTGCCCTTCGGGCTTTACCACTGACCCTCTGGGCAGCCCACTTGGACCCTCCTCCCAAGGAGGGGATAGAAGGAGGCATTGTGAGTGCGGGTTGAAGGGCCCAGGAAGCAGGGGAGCACATGCTCCCTGTCTTGGCACTGCTTTGTTGGAGATGGGAGGTGGCAGGCCTGCAGTGCCATGAGGTGCCCCAGCCCCTTGGTAGGTCTGGGCTGCTACTGTTGGCCATCCTGGTGCCCAGTGACACTTTCTGTGGTCACCTCAAGGCCACGTAGTGAGGGGGCCTGCATGGGGTCTGCCGAAGCTGACAGACCTTGGGCTCCTGGCCTCTCTACTTCCTGCCCTGTTATCCCTCCCTGGGCAGATTGGCAGGACAAGTGGGAGCAGATGGCCTGTATGTGGTTGAGAGGGCTACCTGCCCAGCCCCTCCCCCCCCCAAGGTCTCTTGGGCTGAGGCCTCAGAGCCTGGCGTGGTCCTGCGTGTATGTCCATATGTGCGAATAGGGCCTGAGGAAAGGCTGGAGGTGGAGACTCAGTGCCCAAGAAAGATCTGCCCTCCTGTTCTTGGGAGGGGTCACCTGAAGGCTTTTTAGCTCTACCCCACCCTTTTGGCCAGGATCCCACAGGGTGATAGCCCCATCTGCTTGGCTCACCCCATACCCAGGGCCGCTGTCCGGCTCTAACTACAGCTATTAAGTGCTACCTGCCTCTCAGGCACTCCCCTCACCTAGTTTCTGAGGTCATATGAGTGTCTGTGATGTCTTCCTGTGTCTTCTCCCACTTGATTCCCCCAGCCTCCCTCTGCTTTCACGCTCAGAACATCATTGTCCTAGGCGGCCTCTTTCCCAAAACCTCACCTTTTCTTCCAGTAGAAAATTCTGCTTGATCTTTGGTGCACTGCCCACTTCCAAGCTCCAATGGGCCCAAGCCTGAGCCAGAGGCCTTTGTTTTGGGGGGCAAGGGGAGATGGTTGTGATTGCCCTTGAAGGACAAGGCTGACCTGAGAGGAACACTGACCCCTGAGTTCCCAGGACCCCGAGGTAGCCCAGGGTTTGCCTAGGGTAGGCCTGGCATGGCCATCAGTGGAGGGTCGGGACAGCACTGTCACTTCCCTCCTCCTCTTGGCATCCTCTATCTCCCTAAGATAGGAAGGGAAAGGCAAATTTCTAATTCACCAGCAATAAAAATTAGAGGAGGCTTGGCCCTCAGCCCTTGTATTTCTCTCTTTTCAGTCTCTTCCTCCCACCCCCAAGACTGGGTTTGGAGGGCAGGGTGGAGAGAACTGACAACTACTGTGAGCAAGTTCCCCAATCCCTGACCAGCCTCCTCCCATGACTGGTGACTGTTTAATGAGCTGTGCGTCCCCCACAAAAACAAGAGTGCCCCTCTGTGTGGCCTCTATCCCTCTGCACAGCCCCTTCCCGGTGACCCTCACCAGATCTCTGAGCTGGGTGGGGGGGCCATCTGGTAATCACTGCCTGTTCCACTCACCCCTCACTGCACCTGTCCCAGAACCTGGGCCTGGGCCAGGGGCAGGAGGAAGAGAAGGCATTAGTAGGAAAAAAATAATAGAAAAATATGAACAGACTCAGCTTTGGGACTTCCAACCACAAAAGAAATTATATATAAATATATATAAATATATATCTCTACCATATGTGATGAAAAGACTTCGTTTTCTTTTCCCAAAGAAATAAAATGGAGAAAGCCTCTTGACTGGCATTCTTTGGCCTGCTTGGGTCTTTGCAGGCTTGGGAGGTGAAGCCTGGGTGAGGTGGGGGTGGGGTGGAGGGCAAAGCTGGAGTAAACATTTCCCAGAGGAGGCATGAGACCAGAGTTGCTCACTGGGCCATGCAAGAAGATTGGCCCAAAGCCCAAGCTCCTCTGTTGCCCAGGAGGAGTCGTGGTTCCAAGTTTCTGCCCGATGGGGCTTTCTCTTCAGCTCAGATCGTCACCCTGAGGGTTTCAGGCAGTTCCAATCTAGCATCTGGACCCCAGGCTGCAGGATGGGAGGCAGGCAGGTGGTGCAGGAAAGCTAGATATGGCGTCCTGAGCCACCTTAAATCAATTGGCCAGTATTTGAGGGCAAAAGACAAAAACCTGAAGGTTGAGAATGAGGTAATTATTGGTGAAGCCCCAAAGGCGGAATGGACCCAAGAGTGCTGTGAGCAGGGAGCTGTTCTTGAGAGGTGTTGTCCTTTATGATAATTGCCTGTCTTCTTTACAAAGCCCCCTGCTCAAGAGTGCACCCCATTACAGGTAACCTGATTTACAAGACCCTAAAGAGTGGTTTATTTTTCCCCACCTTACAATTGTGGTCACAAGCATCCCATTCTGATTGGGATTGGTTCACCAAGGACCTAAGACTTCATTCTCCCACTCTCCCATCCTTAGCATGCAGTTCCCTCCATGCCACAAGAGGGCTGCCACAGCTCCAGGAAGGGATTCAGGCAGGACCACTTCATCATAAAAGTAAAAACTTTCCCACGATCCTGCCAGTATGTTTCCCTTTAAGTGTTGTTGGCCAGAACTGAGTTGCATCCTCTTCTCACTTCAAGGGAGGCTGGGAAATTGAATATTTGGCAAAGAAGAATAGGATTGTCATGGATGTCTAGGAGCAATGTGGCTTACTCCCTGGGGGATAGGCCCCCTGCTCTCTCTGTTTTCTTTTTTTTAAGATTTTTTATTTATTTATTCACGGAGATGCAGAGAGAGAGAGAGAGAGAGGCAGAGGGAGAAGCAGGCTCCATGCAGAGAGCCTGACGTGGGACTCGATCCAGGGTCTCCAGGATCACACCCTGGGCTGCAGGCAGGGCTAAACCGCTGCACCACCAGGGCTGCCCTCTCTCTGGGTTCTAATGGCAAAGTCATAGTCAGCAACTAGGAACATTTGCTCTGGCCTAAGTGACAGAACCAGGCAAAGTGGGACCCAGGCTTGCCCCTTCTTACAGTGAAGTGTCCTCCCTGCGTTGGTTTTTGTCTTCCGACAAGATAAGGCCCTGGAGGGAATGTCAGTTCTCAAGTCTCCTTCACAGCACTTAGGATAGGTGCACCAGCAACCAAGGCACTGAGAAGGTATGACAAACACCATACAGCAGTGCTCGTTTCCCCCGAACAGCGGTCCAGGACCAAGCCCTCCTGGAGCGTCTCTTTCTTGCCTAGTTGCTGATAGCAGCTCAGGTGGGAGTCCCTCTACAAGGGAGGGGAAGGATGACCTTGGCGCACAGCCCTCCTCCAGCTCCAGCTCCTCACGTCCATTTCTCCTAACAGGCTCGGCTATCCATCACCAACTCTTCTCCTGAGAGCCCTTGATTGATGTGTATCTTGTAGATGCGTGATTACCCTCACCATACAGTTGAGAAACTCGGCTTAGACAGTTGATGTGATTTCTCCAAGGCTATAAAACCTTGAGTGGTGGTCCGAGATTCGAACCGGTTGTCTACGCTATTCAGCGACTTCCAGAGAGGTCCATCCACGGCGCTGTTTCCCCTCCGCAGGTCCTAGATTTCCCAGTTCTCTCAACAACGTCCTCCGCTGGAAAACGTCCTTGGAAAACGCTGATAGGGTCTTTTGAGCCTCGGCCGCACCCGTCCCTAGCGCGGCAGGCGGAAGTAGCGGGCAATTGGCCGGAAGTGGGGCGGTGAGGTCCGGGGGTTGCTGGAGGAGTCGTAGTGGCGCGGCAGCCCGCGGGGTCCGGGGTTTGGTGTTGCGGCGCCCGCGTTCGCCAGGCTCAGGTGAGTGGCGGCGGCCGGGTAGGAGGTCGCGGCGGCTGCTCTCTGCCCACCTGGGCCTCGGTCCGCCTCTCCCGTCCTGGGCGGCGCAGGGTCGGGCGCGCGCCGAGGCCGGCTGCTCGCTTCCGGGCCTGGCCGCGGACCCCGCTGGCAGGCACGCTTCGAGCTGTATCTCGGCGACCCCGCCCCTCCAGAGTCCTGTGACCTTGGGCACACGGTTCGTCTGAACCTTGACTTTTCCTCTGGGAGACGGAGATAATAACTGCCTGTCTCATAGGGCCGTTGGGGGGAATGCAGTGAGGTTTTTTGTCGCACTTGTCATTACACTTTCACGTGCGTGCTAATAATCACTTGGGGATCTGGAGATTGAGGTGGTAGGCCTGTGGCAGAGCCCGGGATTATGCATTCCTGACCAGCGCTTCCAGGTGAGGATGATGCCGCTGGTCCGCAGGCCAGTTTGAGTAGCAAATTCTACATTATTTTGCTTAGTACCGGGTCAACCTGAGTCTTCAGTAAATATCAATACGATGTATACCTATTCCCCATTTTTAACAGATGGTTTCTAGTTGCGCAAACCTGAGGGTATTATTGATGCCTTCCTCGCTTTTTTTCTCCAGAGATAAAAATAATTGCCCTTTCTCTTTCTGTACAAATCATGACACAGCTCTTCTGTCCTGACTCAGGGAGCTTTGGGCCCTCGTTACACCAGTTACTCATCCACTTCCTTAGGCCATGCTTCATTGCTCGCTCACTGTAAACCATGGGCCAGTGCTTCATCCTGTTGAGCTGGGTAGCCAAGGGCTTTAGCACCAGTGTGGCTGGTGTTCTGTGCTTTCAAGTCATTCGTTGCAGCTGGAATGTAAATTCCTGTTTTCTGCACTTTGTTCACACTTTGTGAGTAGTAAGAACAGCTGCTTTTCCAGAGCTAGATTTTACAACTCAGTGCTCTGAATGGCCTCAGGCAAGCTTTGGGATGAATTCACTGCTGCAAGCTTTGGGATGAATTCACAGACCATAATACAATCTGAAGACTCAAAAAAAAAAAAAAAACAATCTGAAGACTCAGTGTTGCATAATACAATGGAGAAAGTGAGGCTTTCGGCAGTTGTGCAGGCGTAGTTTATTTGACAGTAGCACTTTCTTCCCCATTCATTGGTTTACTTTTCTGATTCCCAACAGGGTCTTGTTATTTGTCATGCAAGTATGCCACCTTTGATATCAGAGCATTCTGAAGTTTTCCCTTCAGCTGTCTGAGAAACTATACTATGCAGCCTTGCAAACCTAGAATAGATAAAAACCAAGAATTTGGTTGAGTTGACCAGTTGACATAACTTTGGGTGCAGATATTTCTCTTTGGTCATTCCTTTAGTTTCACTCACATGGGCTGAGAGGACATGAGTGTCTGCTCTATATTGTTTTTTTTTTTAAATTAATTTATTTATTTATGATAGTCACACACACAGAGAGAGAGAGAGGCAGAGATATAGCAGAGGGAGAAGCAGGCTCCATGCACCGGGAGCCCGACGTGGGATTCGATCCCGAGTCTCCAGGATCACGCCCTGGGCCAAAGGCAGGCGCCAAACCGCTGCGCCACCCAGGGATCCCTGCTCTATATTGTAAAACCCAGAGATTTCCTAAAGACAGAGTGTTAGGAATCCTTTCAGGGTAGTGCCTCTAACAGAATCATTTGTGGGGTCTTATCAGACTGTATCTAGCCAGACCCTTCTTGCCATTCTGATAGAGGAATAGCGGAGTCTTAAAAAAAGGTAGGAGAGGGCTATCTGTATATATTTCACAAGTAATTGTGATGTGCTGTTTTCTCCAATAAGAATGGAAACTAGAGGGTGCCTGGGTGGCTCAGTCATGATCTTAGGGTTGTGAGATCAAGCCGCGGTGGAGCTCCATGCTGGGCATTGAGCCTAAGATTCTCTCTCTCCCTCTCTTTAAAAAAAGAAAAAAAAAAAAAAGAATGTTAACTTGAACGAAGTGGAGGGGATGGGCTGTTAGACTTGGTTTTGATTTGGCTTAACTCTGGGTGATACTTATCTTGACCTGAACACCTTACCTTAGCACTAGTGTTTGACCTTCATAGTATTAGTAGATCCCTCACTTGTAGGCTCTGCTTCTGTGTGGAAACCGAAGCACGGAAGAGTTTAGCCTAGTTGGCATTTGTATTAACAGCTAAGGGTTCTTAGGTCAGTCGCTAAGCCCTCATCAGGGGCATTAAAACTTTGAAAACTCTCAACACCTAGAGAAATTTAATTTTTTGTTTTTTTTTCAATTCTCAGGATTGCTCAACAAATTATTTGCTAAGACAAGACTAGAGTTTGAAGTATCCATTTATTTGTGGCAATTTATCAGGACATAAGGGGGTTAAACCTTTCTAGCAAAAAGATAAATCAGAATTAAGAGAGGAGATCCAGTAACTGGTGAATTGAATATGCTGAGAGTGTCATATACTTAATCTACAGTTAGCATGGCTGTCTTTTACCATCTGGCTCCCTTCCTCTAACTTCTGGACTATAGTTTAAACGAAGCTATTCGGCTTTGCTCAGACCTGTATCTGGAAGGTGGAAAGGTAAGAGTCCTCATTCCTGTGAAATAACATCATTCAGGGTGGTTAGGCAGTGCCAGGGGTCTCTGAGGCTCCATGCTGGTTTGTTAGACCCCCTAAAGAGAGATGGGGAATAGGATATACATGTAGTTAAGTTTATACACTTAAACTAGGAAAGGAGCTTTGTGCTGATGTCACATGTCTTTGAACCTCTAGAGATGGTATCAGGAGTTACTGATTGAGCATCTCATAGTATTCCCTTTCCAGCTTTCTTATGGATTCTCTGGGAGTCCTTAAGTAGGGAGGAACTAACTCTCTCAGCTATTCTCTATCTGGACAAACATGTCCTGGCAGCCTTTCCTTTGCTCCTTACTGTTCTGCTTTATTGGTTCTGTATCTTCCCTTTGTTTCTTTCCTTTCCTTCTCCACAGTACTCAAGACTAGACTTCTGAAGTGGTTATATTTCAGACCTATATATGTAGATATGGTGTCTATACAGTTATGCTAAAAGTTGCATGGTGAAAAAGTAAGTAGCTCCTACTTGTCATTTGCAGTTGGCTCTGCATGCCTCTACGATTATTTTGTCATCATTGCTGTTACTGGGCATCCTTAAGGAAGTTCTGTAGTGAGTAGGAATTGCTTTGACTAGAAAAACTTCAACATATTCCTTGAAACTTAAGGTTACTTTCTTTAAATACTGATTGTCTTGAAGAATACCTTAATTTCTTGTTAGTGCATGCACAAATTTAATTTTTGTCAAACTTGGACGTGGTTTACACAGTCCAGTAGTTTTATGGGATTTATGACACTAAATATTTTAAAAAATATTTTATTTATTTGTTCATGAGAGACACAGAGAGAGAGAGAGAGGGAGAGTGAGAGAGAGGCAGAGACACAGGCAGAGGGAGAAGCAGGCTCCATGCCAGGAGCCTGATGTGGGACTCGATCCCGGGTCTCCAGGATCACGCCCTGGACTGAAGGCAGTGCTAAACTGCTGAGCCACCTGGGCTGCCCTATGACACTAAATATTAATTCTCTTTATTTTTCCTTCAATTTTTATTCTGTGGAGGCACTTTCAACTCTTGGTTTCTTTTGGCATTTATCAGTATATTTATGAATAATATATTTGTGTTGCTGTTTCTTGGTTTTTAGGAGATATCTGTGTCTATAAAATCTTTGGCGACTTTATTATGGGCTTTGAGACTCTGGGTCTCTTGTGTCCCTACCCAACCTCCTCTATTCCTCTTCCTTTCCCTGCATCCTCCATATATAATTTGCTCAAACTTTTTTTTTTTTTTTAAGATTTTATTCATTTATTCATGAGAGACACACAGAGAGAGAGAGAGGCAGAGACACAGGCAGAAGGAGAAGCAGGCACCATGCAGGGAGCTGGATGCGGGACTCGATCCTGGTACTCCAGGATCACGCCGTGGGCCAAAAGCAGATGCTCAACCACTGAGCCACCCAGGTGTCCCAATTTGCTCAAACTTTTAAGTTAAGCTGATATTCAAGGTTTATATCTATAAATTATGTAAATATTCATAGCTGAGCAGGGAGTATAATATAACATTTTCTTGTCTTATACAACCTTTTTGTTTTCCTGGAGTTAATAATTTTTGTCACTGTTATGGGCTTGGTTTTTTGTTTACCTATTGCTTGTCTGTCCCCAGATTATTCCTCAGAAGTATACATCTCCCCTCCTTGGTAATATTTACTTCCTCTGGCATGAACTGGTTGTTCTCTATGTCTGCTCACAGTTCTAGTCTTGGGATCTTCATTATCCTGGGGTTTCCTTTTGCTTCTCTCCTGCTCAGTTGAACCTTAAATTCAGGAGACCTTATGTCTCCTGCCAACTTCTAGGTCTTCAGTTATGGTACATCTCCTTACCTTGATGATGGAATATCTTCCATCCTTCCTGTAGATTTTGGTCTTTGAGGTCTTCTCTTTGTTCTTTTTTGTGAGTACTATAAACTAGCTATAGTGATAGCTCAAGTCTTAGACTACAGACATAGCTCATTTTGCACTTTATTGTACTTCACAGAGAGCATGGTTTTTACAGATTGAAGATTTGGGGCAACCCTGTGTCAAACAAGCCTGTTGGTACCATTCTTCCGACAGCATTTGGTCACTTATCTTTGTGTCACATTTTGGTAATTCTTAGAATATTTCACATGTTTTTGTTACTATTGTGTTTGTTAGGGTGGTCTGTGATCAGTGATTATGACTTGCTGAAAGCTCAGATGATGGTTAGCATTTTGTAGCAATAAAGTATTTTATAATTAAGATACATACATTGAAAAAAAAAAAGATACGTATATTGTGTTTTAGGTATAATGCTATTGCGCATGTGACAGACTATAGTATGGTGTAAACATAACTTTTCCATGCACTGGGAAACCAGAAAATTCTTTGACTCTCTTTATCGCTACCCTTACTTTATTGCAGTGGTCTGGAACTGAATAACACTGAGCACACCTCAGAAGTGCCGGTGTTAGAGATGAGAGGGGCTTTTGAGTTCACTCAGTTTTAACCCTCCAGCTCCCTGGTATCTGGAAATCCTGTAGATTGTTTAGGGTCCTCCCTACTCCTTTGTCTGGAATCTCACTCCTCTTCTTCTCTATAATACACCAGCAATGTGGATTTTGGAATCAGACAATCTTTGATACCAAACTCCACTTCATCCCTTAGCTGTGTAGCCTTCAGCAGGTTTCTTAGTCTTGTGAAGTTCCTTTTCCTCATCCACAATGTAGAGAAAATAAGACCTACCTTATAGAGATTGTAAGGATTGGAGCTAATGCAGATTTAACATGTGCATACTAGGCTTGGCACAGAGAAGGCTCTAAGATAATTGTAGCTGTTGTTTCTTCTATCTTGGAATTTAACCTGTATTTTTGCAAATCAAAAAAGGGCCACATTAATTCAAAATACAGAGTCAGTACCACTCAAACATTGATGTTCGAGGAAATGGTTCTTTTGTTCATCTGGGGACCATGCACAATAAGTTCATTAAGTACTCTTAGGTAGTATTTATTGAAGTAATTTAAGTTATTTAATGTACTTTTAAAATTATTTATAAAGATATTTGTTTAATTCATATACTCTTCTGTTGTTAACAGTTCCAATGCCAGTTGAAAGGGGAAAAAAGTTTATCAAAGATATAGCAGAAAGTCTCTCCACCAAAAAGCTAGTTACTTTCCTTTTATACAAGTATTTTAGGTGATGGCACTCATTTGTGTTCTCTTTGTTTCAGTGAATGTTTGTATGTACTTTTTCTCATATTGATGCCTGCCACACGCTTATCCTGTAAACCAAGCCCCCTCCTTCCGGATGGACATTTGGATTGTTTTCAGGGTTTTTGTTTGTTTGGTTTTAAGATTTTATTTTTAAGTGATGTACACCCAATGTGGGGCTCAACTTAAAGCCCTCAAGATCAAGAGTCACACATTCTACCAATTGAGCCAGCCAGGTGTCCCAGTTTTTCTTTAGAGCAGTTACTTTGTTAAAAAAACAAAAGTTTTTTTTTCCTTCCAGTTTTTCCAAACTTGTTTCCAAGATGAGATGAAGGTCTATAGATTTGAATAGTTTAGGCTTTAGTTGCAGATTGTGTTGAGCCAAATATAGATTCCAGGTTCTAAAGCAGGTCTTCTTAAAACCCCTATTCTGTCGTGGCACCCTGATGGCTCAGTTGGTTAAGTCTTGGACTCTTGGTTTCAGCTAAGGTTGTGAGATCGAGCCCCACATCAGGTTCCTCGCTCAGTGTGGACCCTGCTAGAGATTCGCTGCCTTTCCCTCTCCATTTGCCCCACCCCCTACTCATGTTCTCTCTCTTTTTCTCTCTCCCCCAAAAAAGAAAGACAAATCTTTTTTTTTTTTTTTTTAAGTGGGGGATGCCTGGGTGGCTCAGCAGCTGAGTGTCTGCCTTCAGCTCAGGGCATGATCCTGGGGTCCTGGATCGAAATCCCATATCGGGCTCTTTGCAGGAAGCCTGCTTCTCCCTCTGCCTATGTCTCTGCCTCTCTCTCCGTATCTCATGAATAAATAAATAAATAAATAAAAAATTTTTTGAAGCCCTATTCTATCAACTGGAGAGTTTCATTACTTCTGTTTTGTTCCTACCATACCTGTGGTGCAAGATTGGTTGAGGCAAAAATCTTTAATTATCTCTAACTATTAAAGGAAGAGTTATTTTAGTACTATTTTCCTCATGTTTTCTAATTTTTAAAAAGTTGGCATCTGGGGGCACCTGGACCTGGGTGGCTGTCGGTTAAGTGCCTTCAGCTCAGGTCATGAGGTCCTGGTATTGAGCCCTACATCGGACTCCCTGCTCAGTGGGAACCTGCATCTCTCTCTTCTCACTCTTGTGCTCTTTCACTCTTTCTATTGCTGCCCATCACTCTCTCTCTGTCTCTCAAATAAATAAATAAATAAAATCTTTAAAAAAAAAAAAGATTGGCTATCTGAATCCATAGGACTAAACTAATGGTTTATAGCAAAGTTTTTCTGTAAAGGGCCATATAGTAAATATTATATTTTTTTCTATGGTTATTCAGTTCTGCTCTTGTACTGAGAAAGCAGGCAGAAACAACATGTAATGTGTGGCCTGGCTATTTTCAGATAAAACTTTACCTAAAAAATAGGTGGAGGGGTGGATTTGGACCCCTGAACCATAGTTTTATGACACCTGGTCTGTAGTATCTGGGCCCATAGATTGAAACTTAGTAGACAAAATGGTCCATAGTCCACAGTAAAGAATTTAGTGTATAAAGATTTAATGTGATAGAATTCTGCTCTGGTTTACAAAGAAATTAGAGCATACATTCCTGCCATCTAGAGAAGCCTACATAGCTGGACTACCTGAACAAAGCTACTGGCCTGCCCTGTGGCCACCTGGTTTTCCTCCTGTGGGCTCTGGAGGGAAGGGGCTGCCAGGGGAGTTAGGCAGGGATTTCTGAAAGTCCCTGTGGCACCCTCAGAACCTACAAGGGATTATGTGTCGCAACAACCTCATCTGGTCCACATTGTGGCAGCTCAAGGCTCACTGGGTTTTGCATTCAGGCTTTGGGATTTCTCAAGTGGAAGGAAAACTAAAAGCCTTTAGAGAAAGCAGGAGTATAGCAGAGTCAGTGTCACAGCCTCTCATGGTTTCTACTGTGGGGGACAGTGGGTCCTGCACAGCTCAGAAGCAGGGTGGTCAATATTGGCGACTCATTGGCGACATTGCTCATCAGCAGCCTCCAGAGGAAAGCTGTGCTGCTCCTCTTGCACGTCAGCAGGGCAGGCATGTGAATTGGTGTTCCCTGAACCGTGAGCCCGACTTTGAGATGCTTTTTGCTTCCCATCCGTGAATTGACAGCAGAGCACATCCGCCTTCTGCCTTCTCCCACCAAAATGCGTTTTTGAGTATACATTCCAATTGCCTGACTACTCTGTGGTAGTGATTCAGTATCTGATAAGCTACCTGGAGAGAACAGGCACCTTCTAGAAGGTGTAGGAGCAGCATCAGAAGACAATCCCATAGTCAAAAGCTTCATACTTTAGGAACAGGGAGGGTTATCGTGGGTATAATTAATTTAACTTTTACACCAGATCCCACTTTCTACTTTTGGTTTTAGCACAATAACTTTTACCGACTTTCTTATTCTCCAAGTGGGCCCCTTTCTGCCGTGATATCAAAGAAAGGGAGTTTATCCTAGATGTGTGCTGTCTTGTGGTTTGGCCATTCACCAGCATGGCACTTATTTGAGTGGAGAGCAGTGTAGCTTAATCCATTTCTTATAATGTGTACATTTTGGTACTGTGATAGGTAGAAGCCACTTATTCTTCATCTACCCTTTTTTCAGTATCTGGCACCAATTCTGGCCCAGTCATTTGTGACCCATGGCTCTTGCGATATGCCGAAGATTTCCAGGCAGTTTCTGTGGAACGCCTCCCCGTCCAGCTCTAATCAAGCACCATATAAACAAGAAATTGCCTGGACAGACCTGTGAGGACTGTGTTCTGACTGGCAGAATGATCCGTACTGACGCCAGAATGGCAGCCACCCTCAAGTTGTTAAAACCTTTAGGATATCAAGCGTTTTGCAACCCTTTTGCCTACAGTGCTACCCAAAGTGTGACATACTGGAATGTGGGAAGCTGCACATGGCAGACGGAACAGGACCCTCCAGAACACAGCAGCCTCTGCCATCCTGCCAAAAAAGTTGAGAACATTAATAGCACTTCCTCTTCTCAGAGACTTCTGACAACCAGCAGTGCCCTCCCAGGTTCGGAAACCAGCAGGGCTCCTGCCTCTCAGGCCAGCACGTTAAAGTCGGGCTCACCCAGGGCTGCAGGAGTTGTTGAAGAGGATATAGAAATTTTTGATTCCTTTGAAGACCCCCGAGGTTTCCTACAGCTAAGGCCAGAGTACCAGCTTCACAGCTATAACAGATCTGAGACTTGTCAGCCCCTTTCTGTTTCAGAAGGTGAATTAATTTTGCACAAAGTCACAGTTTATCAAGGTAATCTCCAGCCTCAAGTCATTGCTGAGTATTTCTGTAAGCTGAGCTCTCTGCCTGCAGAGCAGCATCATGTTGTGCTGTCTAGTACCAGCTTTGCTTTGCTCTGCCAGCTAAGTGTGAAAAATATACAACTCTTTGATGTCCCAGATCTGATCAATATTTTGAAAGCCTTTGTCAATCTAGGAATCCCTCCATCCCATTCAATGCTAGGTGTGTATGAAACCAGATTTTGCAATAAGGTGTGGGAGATGAGTGTGGATCAACTTCTCTTGGTGGCTGACCTCTGGCGTTACTTGGGCCGCAGAGTACCTCGGTTTTTAAAAATCTTCTTTAGTTATCTTAATTTACACTGGAAAGATCTATCCTTGTCCCAGCTGATTCACTTAATTTATATTATAGGTGAGAGTCGTCAGGTACCCCAAGACCTCATGCAAAAATTGGAATCGTTGGTTCTCAAATACATAGATTTGATCAATTTAGAGGAGATTGGTACAATCTGTTTGGGATTCTTTAAATCAAGTAGTAGTCTCTCTGAATATGTCATGCGGAAAATTGGAGACTTGGCTTGTGCTGACATGCAGCATCTGAGTAATTATGCCTTAGTGAATATTCTAAAAATGTTCCGTTTCACGCACGTGGATCACGTAAATTTCATGAAGCATTTTGGCCAGATTGCTCCTCAACGAATTCCTTTTCTTGGAGTTCAGGGTGTCATGCATCTGACTCTTGCTTGCTCAGCCCTACGTGTCCTGGATGAAGGGCTAATGAATGCTGTGGCTGCTTCTTTGCCTACGAGGGTGGCATACTGTCGAAGTAAAGATATAGCCAAGATCCTGTGGTCATTTGGAACTCTGAATTATAAGCCACCCAATACAGAAGAGTTTTATTCTGCCCTGATAAATGAGATTCACAGAAAGATGCCTGAGTTCAATCGATACCCAGAGCACCTGCTCACCTGCCTGTTGGGCCTGGCATTTTCTGAGTACTTTCCATTTGAGCTCATCAACTTCGCTTTGAGTCCAGAGTTCGTCAAGTTAGCTCAGTCGAGAAGTAAGTTTGAACTCACTAAGGAGCTGTATACTCTTGATGGTATAGTTGGCACTGAGTGTCTAGATTACAGAGGCAATCGTCTTAGTGCTCATCTTCAGCAAGAAGGGTCAGAAATGCTGTGGAATTTAGCAAGGAAGGATATGTGCTCAAAGCCTGAATTCCTAGAAGCTCTCTTTTTACTTGAGACCATGTTGGGTGGGTCTCAATACATCAAACACCATATGATTTTGCCTCATACCCGATCTTCTGACTTAGAGGTCCAGCTTGATGTTAACATGAAGCCATTGCCATTTAATATAGAAGCCATACCAGTTGAAGAAGAAGCCACATTAAAGCTTAAGCATGTGGGAGTCAGCCTTACAGATGATTTGATGAATCAGCTACTCCAAGGAAAATCAAGAAAACATACCCAGGGAGAAACTGAGTCAGAAACTGAGCCACGGGCAAGAGAATTAGAGAAGACAGCCATACATTTGGGGAGCTCCCCTTGCAGTGTGGCAGACAGATTAGGGGCAGACAGATTAGCCTGCATGCAGGCCCCACAGGTGAAGCTGGCCATTCAGTTGACAAACAAAAACCAATATTGCTATGCTTCCAGAGATCTGCTTGGACTGCACAATATGAAGAGGCGGCAATTGAATCAGCTTGGGTACCGTGTGGTAGAGTTATTCCACTGGGAGTGGCTCCCACTACTGAAACGAACTCGCTTAGAAAAGCTGATGTTCCTCCATGAGAAGGTGTTCACCTCTACTCTCTGAATGGCTTTAAGGGACACTGTTACTCATAAATGCCCTAGAGGTACACTGTACAGAAACAGTTATAAAAGCTAGAATATAGGTTTGGTAATAAAATCATCTGTTGAGGAGACTTAGCTGTGTTCTTATCTATGGCAAAGTGAAGTTACTGTGTGTTACCATGAATTAATTGTAACCTGGTCCAGTTGTACAAGTTGTTGCTAATTTGTGCAGGTAATGAATAAACCTCTTAATATGCCCTATTTTCAAGTAATTCCTATCATATTTTTCTTCCTCTCTTTACTGGCCTTACTTCATCATGATTTTGATTTTTAAAGATAAAAGTGTAGCCAGACATTGTCAAAGCCAATTTTTTAAAAGTGGTTTTCATGTACTTTATTTTTTTAAAGATTTTTATTTATTTATTTGACAGAGCGCACAAGCAGGGGGTTAGGGAGAGGGAGAAGCAGATTCCCTGCTGAGCAGGGAGTCAGACATTAGGCCTGATTCCAGGACTCTGGGATCATGCCCTGGGCTGAAGGCAGACGCTAAACCGCTAAGCCACCCAGGGATCCCCTATACTTAATTTTAAAATAAGAATCTTTTTTGAGTTGCCTTGTTGGCTCAATCAGCTTAGTGTCTGCCTTCAGCTCAGGGCATGATCCCAGACTTCTGGGATCGAGCCTTGCATCGGACTCCCTGATCATAAGGGAGTCACCCTCCCTGCCTCTCCACCTGCTTATGTTCTCTTGTCAAATAAATAAATAAAATCTTAAAAAAAAAAAAAAAAAAAAACAGGGTTCCCTGGGTGGCGCAGCGGTTTGGCGCCTGCCTTTGGCCCAGGGCGCGATCCTGGAGACCCGGGATCGAATCCCACGTCAGGCTCCCGGTGGATGGAGCCTGCTTCTCCCTCTGCCTGTGTCTCTGCCTCTCTCTCTCTCTCTCTCTCTCTGACTATCATAAATAAATAAAGAAAAAATATTAAAAAAAAAATCTTTTGGGGCACCTAACTGGGTCAGTTGGTGAAGCATGTGACTCGATCTCAGGATTGTGAGTTCAAGCCCCACATTGGGTGTGGAGCATACTTAAAAAATAAATAAAATAAGAATCTTTACAACTTCATTTACATTTCATGATTTTCCCCCCATGCATATTTTCTTCACATCCTTTAAAGTCTCATTCTTATTTAGATTTTGTTGGTTGTCCTTAGTTGATGGTTCTTCCTGCTTTCAAGAGCCATTTCAGAATTAGTGAGCTTAATGTCCTCAAGCCCCCTCTACTGCATTTCTACTTCTCTTGCATAAATTCTTCCCCCTACCTTTCCCTCCAAATATTTTTTCCCTAAAATTGGACATAGAAGAGTGGAATTAAATGGATGTCTGTTGGGTCAATGATTCCCAAATCCAATGACCAGGTAGAATGTTTTTCATGAGAAGTGGTTCAAACAAGAAGGAAATGCATTACCTTCCATAAGAAGTCTAGTGGGCTTCAGGTTTGGTTGTATTAGCACCATAAACATAAAGAGGTTATATATAAAGAGATCCTATGTATATGGATCCTATATATGTGTAAGCAACTTAATACAAGTAACCTTTGTAAACATTTAGGGGTGAGAATTTTAAAAAAGATCCCTCCCACCCTTATTCAGATTTCCTCTCAAAGGTCACTTCCCTTCCCATGCAAAACAGTACCTTGGTTGCCTTTTGATCATGCTCTGTCATCTTCAGCTTCATTTTCCTCACTGCACTTAGCAGTATCAGAAATTATTCTGGGGACACTGGGGTGGCTCAGCAGTGGAGTGTCTGCCTTTGGCTCAGGGCATGATCCCAGTTCATGGATCGAGTCCCACATTGGGCTCCTGCAAGGAGCCTGCTTCTCCCTCTGCCTGTGTCTCTGCCTCTCTCTGTCTCTCATGAATAAATAAATAAAATCTTAATTAAAAAAAAAATTAACAATAGCCCTTTGAGTTAACTGTGTTTTGTTAACTAATTAATCTCCAGTGCATGTAGTGGGTTGCAGCACAGAGATGATAATGTTTAGTGAATATGGTCTGGGAATTTAGAGTGGTTAGGCATTGCTGGGGAGTTGAGGTGGAAAGAAGGCAGAGGGTGGGGGTAGAGAGGTAGAGCAGATCTGGGTCACAGTTTACAGCGTTACTAAAGAGCCTAAGTATATAGGGGCTGGGTGCTTCTAAGGGAGTCTTAAGTAGGAATAATTGGGCAGATTCATGTTTTAGAACTGTTAGGTAAAAAGGATAGAATGAGATTGAGGAAGGGTATATGAGATGTATTAGGGAGAATATTTCACAAATGAGTATAAGAGCTCAGGTGAGACATAATGAGGGCCAGAACTATGGGAATGGAAAGTCTGAGTTTCAGAGGTGATTGGAAGGAGAAAGGCAAGACTTGCTAATTGGTTGGATTAGGGAATGGGGATTTTAGTGCTGACCACATTGATATGGAGTCAGCAACTAAAATTGGAACCAAAGCAGGAAAGGTGTTTGGGTAGAGGGTTAGTTAATCTCACCTGGTCATGCTAAGATGAGCTTCCAGGCAGAAATAGCCAGGCTGAGGTCTCAGATGGGGATCTGGGCAGGTGGCAGTCAGAACCACAAGTGAGTGAAATCGCCTGGACAGGTGGATAGGATGTTATTGCAGTTTGGGGATCAGGGAAGAAAAGATAACCAAGAATAGAATACCAGCATTTATAGGGAGAGCAAAGCGAAGGGGACCCAGTGATAAAGATAAAAAAAGAAGAAATAACTACACTTAGGGAAAATGGTAACATACAAGTTTGTCAAGGGTCCTCAAGCTACCCTCACAAAAAGGATTCACAGAACTTGTAAAAGCTGTTATACTCACAGTTATGGTTTATTACAGTGAAAGGATACAGATTCAAATCAGCAAAGGAAAAAGACACATAATGCAGAGTTTAGGAGAGACCAGGTACAAGCTTTCAGTTGTCCTTTTCCAGTGCAGTCACATGGGTAGGTCTTAATTTCATCCCAACAGTGATATTTGCCAACATTTATCCATATTACTAATCAGGGTAGCTCACCTGAGCCTGTGCAGGGTTTTTATGGGGGGGGGGGGAGAGTCATGTAGGCATGGAGTGCCCACGTGGCTGGCCTTAGTTATTCAGTCCCCACCCCCTTCAGAGGTCCAACTGACATGCCCAAGCCCCCACCATAATTCACATTGGTAGTGTAAGCTGTCTGATGCAGCTCAAGGTCTCAGATGTATGCAGACAGTCTTAACAGGAAGGATATTCCAAGGGCTTAGAGATGATCTCCAAGGAGCTAGTAAAGGGCCAGTTTTTTGGGAATGTGCAGGGTTTCAACCCCCCCCCCCCCATGCCGCCAAACCTGCTGAGTTAACCTTTCATTGCACAGAAGCCAATAGGAAAGGAGAGGATTTGCACCATGTCAGTTGCTAGGGAGAGAGCAGTGAGGGCAAGAACCAAAAATCTCCAGTAAATTTGCAACTTGGTCATCACTGATGACATTAACAATAGCAGTTTGAATTGGATTGTCAGAGCAAAAACCAGACTGCACACCTGTTGAATATTGAGAATTAAGGAATGGGTTGCAAATGTTGAGGCAATTCCTTGAGAATCTTTGAAGAGAAGGGAAACCTTGAGCAGGATACAGAGTGGGAGTAGGATTGCCAATATAATACAGAATGCCGGGATCCCTGGGTGGCGCAGCGGTTTAGCGGCCTGCCTTTGGCCCAGGGTGCAATCCTGGAGACCCGGGATCAAATCCCACGTCGGGCTCCCGGTGCATGGAGCCTGCTTCTCCCTCTGCCTGTGTCTCTGCCTCTCTCTCTCTCTGTGACTATCATAAATAAATAAAAAAAATGTACCCCACCTTTAAAAAAAAAATAATACAGAATGCCTGGTTAAATTTGAATTTTGGGGACACCTGGGTGGCTCAGCCGTTTAGGGCCTGCCTTCGGCTCAGTGCGTGATCCTGGAGTCCCAGGATTGAGTCCCACATTGGGCTCTTTGCGTGAAGCCTGCTTCTCCTTCTGCCTGTGTCTCTGCCTCTCTGTCATGAATAAATAAAATCTTAAAAAAAATTGAATTTCAGATAAGTAATAATGTTTTGTGGTAAAATACGGATAAAATTGGCCATTTTTTTCAAGTGTGTAATTCAGTGACAGTACATTGATGATGTGCAACCAATCAGCACTGTCTAGTTCAAGAACATTTTTTTTCACCCCCCAAAAAAACTCCATGCCCATTTAGCAAAGATTCCACGTGTACCCCTCTCCCCAGACCCTGGCAACTATCTATCTGCTTTCCATTTCTGTGGATTTACCTATTCTAGATATTTCCAAAAAGTGGAATCCTACAGTATGTGGCTTCTTATACTTAGTATAATGTTACTAAAATTCACCCATGTTATGCATGTGCCAGAACATCATTACGTGTAGCTGAATAATAGTCCACTGTTTGGACATACCCTATATTGTTTATCCATTCATCAGTTGATTGACACTGCATTTTTCCACTTTTTTGACTATTGTGACTGGTGCTGTTATGAACATTCATGTGGCATATTTTTTTGAATGCCTGTTTCTAGTACTCTGGATATATACCTACAAATGAAATTGTTGGGTTATATGTTAATTTGATATTTAACCTACTGAAGAACTGCCAGACTTTTCCACAGTGGCAATACCATTTTACGTTTCTAACAGCAATGTATTAGGGTTCCACTTTCTCCACATCTTTGCTAACACTTGTTATTTTGTGTGTGTGTGTGTGTGTGTGTGTGTGTGTGTGTGTGTGTTTTAAATAGCTGTTCTAATGAGTGTGAAGTGGTATCTCATTGTGGTTTTGATTCATATTTCCCTGATGACTAATAGTGCTTAGTATCTTTCTTTTCTTTCTCCGTCTCTCTTTTTAAGTAGACTCCACACCCCGTGTGGGGCTTGAACTCATGACCCTGTGATCAAGAGTTGCATGCTCTATTCACTGCACCAACTGGCACCCTTAGCATCTTTCTTTTTTTTTTTTTTTCCTAAGCATCTTTCAATCTTAACAATACTGAGTCTTTAATCCATGAACAGGAGATGTCTTTCTATTTATTTAGGTCTTTTTAAAATTTTTTTCAGCAGCATTTTATTTTTTTTTATTTTAAAGATTTAATTTATTTATTCATGAGAGACACAGAGAGAGAGAGAGGCAGAGACACAGTCAGAGGGAGAAGCAGGCTCCATGCAAGGAGCCCGATGTGGGACTCGATCCAGGGACTCCAGGATTACACCCTGTGCCAAAGGCAGGTGCTAAACTGCTGAGCCACCCAGGGATCCCCTTCAGCAGCATTTTATAGTTTTTGGTGTATAATTCTTGCTCTCCCATAGTTACATTTATTCATTAGTATTTTTATTTTTTTTTAAAGATTTTATTTACTTATTCATGAGAGACACAGAGAGAGAGAGAGAGAGAGGCAGGCTCCCTGCAGGGAGTCCGATGTGGGACTCAGTCCCAGGACTCCAGGATCACACCCTGGGCCTAAGGCAGACGCTCAACTACTGAGCCACCCAGGCATCCCAGTATTTTTATTTTTAATGCTACTATAAATGGAATTTTTATTTTCACTTTTTTTCTTTTATTTTTTTAAGATTTTATTTATTTGACTGGGGAAGAGAGAGTGAGAGAGAACACAGGCAAGAAGCAGCAGGCAGAGGGCAAGGGAGAAGCAAGCTCCCCACTAAACAGGCAACCAGATGTGGGGCTCGGTCCTAGGACTGTGGGATCATGACCTGAGCTAAAGACAGACACTTAACCAACTGAACCACCCAGGCACCCATGTTTTAACATCTCTATGAATTGCTTGTTACAAGTGGTTAGAAATATGAATGATTTGTCCTGCATTTTTGCCTAATTCTTTTATGAGCTATAAGAGTTTTTGTGTATGTGTTGATTCTTTAGAATTTTCTATATACAGGATCATATAATTTGTGGATAAAGGTAGTTTTCCTTCTTTCTTTCTGCTTTGGAGACGTTTTTATTTCTTTTTCTTGCCTACTTTCTCTGGCTAGAGCTTCTTATATGAAATTGAATAGAAGTGGTAAAAGTGGGCATCCTTCTCTTGTTCCGATCTTCTGGAGGATTCTTTCAGTCTTTCACCATTGAATATATTAGCTGTGGGTTTTGCATGAATACCCTTATCATGTTAAGGAAGTTCCTTTCTGTTCTTAGTTTTCTGAATGTGCAATAAATAATTTTTTAGCATATGTCATAGATAGTACATAGGACATTCTTTTTTTTTTTTTTTTTTTTAAGATTTATTTATTTAGGGCAGCCCTGGTGGCTCTGGTTTAGCGCCGCCTGCAGCCTGGGGCGTGGTCCTGGAGACCCGGGATCGAGTCCCACATCAGGCTCCCTGCATGGAGCCTGCTTCTCCCTCTGCCTGTGTCTCTGTCTCTCTGTCTCTCTCTCTCTCCCCCTCCGTGTGTGTCTCACATTAATAAATAAATAAAATTTTAAAAAAGATTTATTATTTATTTATTTATTATTTATTTATTTATTATTTATTTATTTATTTGAGATACAGAGAGAGAGAGAGAGACAGGCAGAGGGAGAAGCAGGCTCCATGCTGGGACTCGATCCTGGGTCTCCAGGATCACACCCTGGGCTGAAGGCGGCACTAAACTGCTAAGCCACCGGGGCTGCTCCATAGGACATTCTTAAAGAAAAAAATCTATTGTTCATCTGATTTCCAGATTTAAGTGGGCAGTTTTTATTTTTATTTGCCAAGTTGGCAACACTAAGAAAAACTCAGCACCAAGGCAAGGTTTTTTTGAGGAGGCTGTTGAGGGCAGAAGAGACTTACATGTTGAGGAGGGTCCAGCAGTAGTCAGAGATAAGCATTCAGGAGAGAGGTGAGAACAGATGGAATAAGGTCCAATGGTCACATTTATATATGAAGAACATGGCTACTCCACCTGGCGTCCCATAGAATTTTGCTGACTCTACTATTAAGGTGGTGAGTAAATGGTATTAGAACCCTT